ACGTTCTGGTAATTGTCGACGCTCTCACGAGATACTGCATCATAGTTCCCACCAGGTCGACGAAAACAAAGCCAGTCGTCGATGCTATAAACCGATTAACGCTTTACTTTGGACTACCGCAACGAATTGTTACCGATCGAGGGTCAGCATTCACTTCCTCAGCGTTCGAAACATTTACTGAGTCTCTTAACATCCAACATGTGAAGGTAGCAGTGCGCACTCCTCGCTCAAATGGCTTAGCGGAACGCGTTAACCAAGCTGTGTTGGCGTACTTGAAACCATCTACGAATGATCCTAAAGATTGGGATACCCATGTCCGCATGCTTCAGTGGACAATGAATACGAAGATCAACGCTACAACGAAGTTCGCTCCAATAGATCTTGTTTACGATTTCCCACTACGTGATTTGAGTGGAAATAAGCTCTTGGCGGCACTTCACGACAACGAGGAGCTGCATATGAATGGTCGACGCAGCGAGGCCGTGAAAAATATTGACGAAGCTCGCCAGAAATGGAAAACTAGATTCAATGCGAAACATCGTAAACCTGTTCCATATAAAGAAGGAAATTTGGTGCTGCTTGAAGCTCCACCCCCAAGTACAGGCGAGTCGAGGAAGCTGCAGCCTAAATACAAGGGCCCGTACATGGTAAAGAAAGTTTTACGCTACGACCGGTATGTCATCGAGGATGTCGACGGAAATCAACGTACCAAGCGACGTTACAGCACCATTGCCACGTCAGACAAGATGAAACCATGGTGCGCTCTATTCCCAGAAATTGACGACGACTGTTGCTCTGACGGCGATAGCGATGCGGAATAAAACTCACCCCACTGAGTTTCTGTCAGGAGAGGCCGAGCTGTCATCTCCATCATTAGTGCCATCACTATCAGCTGTCATCCCGGTGATGATTGCCATCGCTATTTCGAGCATTCATCTTTTGACTTACTTGTGTTCATTCATTCATTCATTGTTAGTTTTTCTGAGAAGTCGTTTTTGGCTACAATTGGTTACAAGCAAAACGCCAATTATAAACGCTGTATAATTATTTAAAGTATATTTATTAAATTAATAAATAAACAACGGTCATCTTCTTAAAATCTGTCTTTGAGTGACAATATATTGTGATCGTTGTTATTCAGTTGTGTTTTGGCTGAGCTAGACATAGCACGAGCGGAGTTACTCACATGCTGGTGTAAAAATTACCACTCCTCGGCATTAACGTAAATTTTTCTTTGAAAATATTTTACCACCACGTCAGCATTAGCGTAAGTATTTAGTAGAATCAAATTTACCCCACATCGAAATTAACGTAATATTTTCGTGGAATTATTTTTACCACTCGTCTGTTTTCTTGTTGGTAAAAAATTATTTATTTCAAAAACGTTATATTACAAATTTTTTAAATTACGTGATATGCTATTTATGTTAACAGATCATGTCGAATTCAAAAAAACTCAGTGATTCAGTCATATCTCAATTTCTTGAGGAATGTTTTGAGGACGATGACGATGTTAGCGAAGTCGACGACGAAATTGTCGATCCGGATTTCTGCATTGAAGAAAGTGACATGGAGGATGAAATACGTATAGAAGATGATGCATGCAGTGAATACGATGAAGCGGATACAATGATTGTTGAGGAAATTGTTGGCAATGATGAAGAAGAAGTAGTTGTTGATGGAAATGTATGTGAATCTGCTGTAAACTACTTTTATGGAAAAAACGGGTTCAGGTGGTCAGCATTGGAACCAACACGCTGCGTAAAAACTCCTCTTCATAATATTGTGCGGTTACCAGTTGCTACACAACCGCAATCGGAAAAGGATTTATATGGATATTGGTCGCGAATTTTTGATAGCGATATGGAGAACATGATTTTAGAACATACAAATACAAAATTGAAAGCAAAATTTGATCTAACAGCACAAACTGAAGCGAAAATGCTTGATAAAATAGAATTGAGTGCATTTTTCGGTATCTTGATTTACACATCCGTATTCAAGTCTAACCACGGGGCCGCTCAATTTATTTTTGCAACTGATGGAACGGGCAGAGAAGTTTTTAGAGCTACAATGTCTAAGAACCGGTTTCTTTGTATTCTAAATTGCTTAAGATTTGATAACTCCTGTGACAGACAACAACGATTATTGAACGACCCATTAGCAGCAGTTTCTGGTATATTAAACAAATTTATAGAAAACTGCCGAAAAAGTTATTCAATTGGTACTCATGCCTGCATAGATGAAATGTTGGTACCATTTCGTGGAAGATGCAAGTTCAAAATTTACATGCCAAAGAAACCCGCAAAATATGGCATTAAGATAATGTCATTGACTGATGCACGCACACAATATCTTGCAAATGCATATATATACTTTGGAAAAAACTCGGATGCAGTTGGTCTAACAAATGAAGAAAAACGACTTGCAGTACCAACACAATCAGTAATAAGGCTGTCTAAAATAATAGAAGGAAGTCGAAGAAATATAACTGCTGACAATTGGTTTTCATCACTCCAGCTGGTTGAAGAACTTAAAAAACGAGAACTAACTTATTTAGGTACGCTGAAAAAGAACAAAAGAGAGATTCCACCAGAATTTTTGCCCAAAAAAAATAGACCGTTGGGATCCTGCATATATGGTTTTACCAAAGATGTCACTATTTTATCCTACGTGCCTCGTTAAAATCGTGCTGTTGTATTATTGTCCTCCATGCATCATAAAAAAGAAGATGCCCCACTCACTTTAAAACCTGCAATGATAGCTGATTATAACAATACAAAAGGTGGAGTGGATGAGCTCGATAAGAAATGCTCGATTTATTCATCCGGTCGACCATCCGGCTGGCCATTAGCCATATTTTTTAGAATTGTGGATATTTGTGGTGTCAACTCTTTCATTATTTTTCAATCTTCAAAGGATTATGATAACAGCTCAAGAGGAGACTTTTTGAAAAAGCTTGCAAGACCAATGATTTTACCACATCTGCAAAGACGTCAACACAACCAAAAGCTCCCTCGGGTATTGCGAGACACAATTGGTAACGTTTTGGGTCCGGACTCTGTAGCTCCGCCTCCAGTAGAACCGGTCCACGTTGCTCGTAAGTTATGCCACATATGCCCGACTAGGCTAAAGCGAAAAACTACACACTTTTGTCTGCAATGTAGTAAGCCAATGTGTATGGGATGCAGCAAACGTATGCTTACACTGTGCGAACACAGATTTTGATGAGTAAAAAACCACCTAAAAGGTGGACCTCCAGTTTTTACACCTGACTATTTTTTTTATGATCTCTTATATCTTTAAATGTATACATTTGGCTGTGAAAAAATGCCCTTTAAGTTTTTTTTTTTTTTAATTCATATTTTTTTTATAAGTTATTTATATGTCGTTTTTTTTATATAAAAAAAAGGTTTGTGAAATAAAGTACCCGTTTTGTTCAAACGAATAAAAAAAAATTTTGTTTTCTTTATTTTTTGTAATTAAAAATATTAGTAGCTTATTTTTAAAAAACAAATAATTATCAAAAAATATTCTTTACTAAATTTTTTTAGTAAAATGAAGAGGGGTAAAATTTACCACCACGTCATAAACTATGTCCCAAAATTTCACCTCGTCAGTTAAAGGTTAAGCAAGTGCAAGAGTGTAACATGTATTAAGTAGAATCAGGAGTATCGTCGTTGACTGGAATCGGTAATCGGCATATATTAGACACAGAACGTTTGTATAGGCCGTTCTGCTTGCGAACAGTGACGACGCGTACTAGATTATCTGACCCGGATGAATGTCCATAGTTCGACCTAGCAGCCATTGGTTTGGTGCTAATCGATCATCCGTCACTAAAATGACCTCGTTGATCCTTAGTTTGGGCTCCTCACGTCGCCATTTTGGACGCGCTTGTAGATGCGAAAGCCAGTCTGGAGACCACCTAACCCAAAAGTGCTGAACCATACGTTGGAGTTCGAAGTATTACGCCGAGATGGATTTAGTGCTGGGAGCTATTTGCGGAGTTGATAGCAGAGCATCGCCGATCCGGAAGTGTCCTGGCGTTAAAACGAATAAGTCATCTGGATCCGATGTGAGGGGGCACAGGGGCCGTGAATTTAAACACGATTCGATTCGTACTAACACGGTTGTCAGCTGCTCGTATGTGAGTTTGGATGCACCCACCGTGCACTTCAAATGGTACTTAATAGACTTAACATTCGCTTCCCAGAGTCCTCCGAAATTGGGTGAATGTGGTGGATTGAAATGCCATTGAATGTCTTGTGCTGGTGGTTTAGGCACGATTTCTCGCTCGACATCTTTGATAAACTGCTGCTGATTCGTTTTCAAGACAGCATAAGCGCCGATAAAATTCGTGCCGCAGTCGCTGTATATAACGCGGCAAAGACCACGTCGGCCAATAAATCGCTGAAGTGCCCACAAGAAGTGTACGGTTGTCATACCTGTGATAGCCTCTAAGTGCATAGATTTAGTCGCAAGACAGATGAATATCGCTACATATCCTTTATAAACCGTGTGGCCGCGATATCTTGATGCCTTGAGCTCTATGGCTCCTGTATAATCAACACCTGTTGCGAGAAATCTCCCATTAACTGAGTGGCTGAATGTGGCTTGTTGCGAAAACATCGTATGCAATGTCGAAGCTGGTTTCGAACAGTTTTACGAGCGTTAATGATCCAGAATTTTTCTCGAATATTGGAAAGACTTAATTGTACACCGCCATGCAATGTATTATTGTGGGCGTTATTAATAACTAAATTTATGAAATGATGATTGCTAGGTAGAATCATCGGATGCCGTTGACCGTAAGGAAGTGCTGCGTGTTTAAGACGACCACGTATGCGTATAATCGTTTTATCGTCTACAAATGGTGTTAGACTAACCAATTTACTGCTGGTCGGTAAGTCATCGTTGGACTGAATTCGGTTAATGTCTTTTGCAAACGCTTCGTGCTGCACATGCCGCACAATCCGATATAAGCTTTCTCGAAGTTCCATTGCTGTAAGTGGTCCGTGTCTACGAATCTGATTGTTGTTTGGACGCAGATTGTGAATTGCCCTCAATAGCCAAGCTGTAATACGCAAAACTTTTGAAAATGACGAGAAACGTAGTACGAACGAGGATTGAGAAATCGTTAAATTAACATGTACCTTGACGGGTTTCTCCTCAGCTGTTGTGGCGTCAATCTCGGATTCGTTGACTGCGGATTTCGGCCATGTTGACTTACAGTCTCTGAAGCAAGGAGGACCGTTCCACCAAGTTGCATCGGGGATAAGTCTCGAGTAGCACAGTCAGCTGGGTTGTCCACAGTGTTGACGTGGCTCCATTGATTTGGTGCAGTGACGGACAGGATTTTACCTATACGGTTTCCGACGTACAGCCTCCAACGGTTGATATCACCCTTAATCCAATAGAGAACGATAGTGGCGTCAGTCCAATAATAAATTGGCACGTTACCACATACAGCTGTGATAGTTTTCTGTGTCCAATTGGCAAGTGTTGTATCCAAGACTGCTCCACATAGTTCCACGCATGGAATGGTGAATAGATTAGTCGGAGTCACCTTGCTCTTGGCAGCGAGAAGATGTGTATGTATTTCGTTATTTTGGTATTCAATTCGAATATATATAGCCGCTGCGTAAGCGGATGAAGAACCATCGCTGAACGCATGTATTTCCACCGCTCGTATATGCTGCGGCGAATATTGCAACCAACGTGGAATTGCGATTGACTTCACTCGTGGCAGGTCTGTGACGAATTTTTGCCATTTAATTTTAATTGGCGCCAGTAGCTCTTCGTCCCACTCTATACTTGACACCTTGGTAGTTCGCCTTCGTAGTCCAAATTACCTTCAGGATGATTTTTGCAGCGACCGTAATTGGAGTTAAAAAGCCGAGGGGATCGAATAGCCGAGCAATTGTGGACAAAACAGACCGCTTTGTTGCTATAAAATCAATAGAGAAATTAATTGAAAATGTAAATGAATCGTGAGTCGGTTGCCAATGAAGACCAAAAGTTTTGACTGTCTCGTTCTCGTTTCTCGTACAAGATTGATGTTCTCTTGGTATAGACCTTAAGAGCTCTGGCGTGTTGCTTGACCACTTTCTGAGTTCCATTCCAGCTGACTTCAACGCAGATATAAGTTGATCGCGCATAAGTATTGAGCTGGAGATAGAGTCACTTCCGCATAGGACATCGTCGACATAGATGTCATGCAATAAAATTTTTTCTGCTAGCGGAAAATCATCCTTTTCATCTTGTGCTAGCTGATGAAGTACTCGAATCGCAGTATATGGTGTCGAGGCAGTCCCAAAGGTTACTGTAGTGAGGCAATATTCCAGGATATGCCCCTTTTTGTTGCGCCACAGGATGCGTTGGTATTAAGCATCGTCCTTGTGCATATCTATGCAACGATAGGTCTTTTGTATGTCGGCAAGGAAAACATACCTATGTAAACGCCAATTCAAAATTACCGATGACAGGTCATTTTGAAACGGTGGACCTGTACATAACAGGTCATTCAGTGAGCGACTATTTGAAGTTTTTGAAGAAGCATCGTAGACTATCCGCACCTTAGTCGTGAAGCTTTCTTCCTTCACAGCTGCGTGATGAGATAAAACACACGACGTGCAGTATGCTTGTTCACCGTGGTACAATCTGGTTGAGACGTAAATAATTCTCAATACCATCTATGTATCGATCGCGTAAATCGGCATCTCGCTAAAGCCGCCGGTCAAGCTTATAAAATGTATTTTGCGCGATCTGCTTTAACGGTAATCGGACTAGATATTTACCATCAGCTTGCCTTATATGGGTGGTACGAAAGAATTCTTCACACCATTGATCTTACGTGGACAAAGTTGTGTTGATTGGCACTTGTTCGCTTTCGTAAAATTTGTGTACGAGCGCTTCAAGTTCAATGTTACTATGATGGCAGCGAACCGTGAGAGTGGACAACGGTGTGGATTGTATTCGACCTGATGGGATCCAACCTAAATTAGTTCGTTGTGCGATAGGCTGCTCAGGGTCGCCGATCCGTGTTTCCGGCAACATTATTTGTGCGATCATATCAGCCCCGATGATAAGATCAATCCTTTTCAGCCGGTAGTACATTGGGTCTGCTAATTGGAGACCTTGCAGGTGTGCTAAAGATAGTGGCACAATGGGCTGACTTGGCAGTTTTGCTGTGAGTTGCTTTAGAACGTAAGCATTCGAAATGGGAATGACGAAGTCCTCATCGTAGCAAGATTGAAGTGTACATCTGACTACTGCCTTGGATTGGATGTGCACGTTGGAACCTACTCCACATATGTCCGCTGAAGTAGGACTGCGTCGGGCGCCCTAATCGCTGAACGACATTTTTGGAGATAAGGGTTCCTTCCGACCCTTGATCGACGAGAGCGCAAACCAGTGTGGATTGATTTGTAACCTCATTGCATAGCGCTACAATAGCTGTAGCCAGAAGCACTTGCTTTGGTTGCCTATCAGTGAGCACCTGCGACTTGAATTGAGTGAAGTGCGTAGCCACTGTGGCATGAGCATTTGTAGATTGCTTTGGATCAAAGGCAGCGGCCGACGGAGATAATGCATTGGCCTGGGAAAGAGTGTGTGGTACTGCCGCAGGAGTGTTGAAATTCGATGAATTTGGCTGAGTTGATGACGGTGGTTTCGTATAGTTGGGGAAAGTCTTTGGAGCGAGTGGAAAATGTAGCAACCTGTGATGGCGTTGGCCGATTTTTAGGCAGTTTTTACTGCTGATGCACTGTGAAAGCGCATGAGATTTACTCAAACAATTAACACAGAGCTTAGTCTTGTCGACTATGCATTTCCTTTCGTAGCAATCCTTTGAAAGAAATGTTGGACAGCGGCGTATGATGTGATCAGTGTTGCCACGGGCAAATTTTTTTTCCTATCAAAACTTCCTACCAAACTCAACCAAAACCTACCAAAATTGTATTTAAGTTTTTTATATTTTTTTATGTCAAGTTTATTAAATATTAGATAAAACAACATTTAGAAAAACTAAAACACAGATAGTACAATAAAAACAAATTAACAACGTATAACAATTCATTTTACTGTACAGACTTACACAAATGTTTGTCTCTTTATACATCTATCTATTGTGCTTAACCCTAATTATAATCACTCCAACCTTATTCTTTTTAAGAAGTTAGGCACTTTGGAGGGCGCCATGTTTAAAATTTTGGATGAAGAAGACAATCGTTCCCCAGTGTGTATCAGTCTGTTATTTATGATACGTGGGCAGTCACATAGTATATGCTCTGAGGTTTCTTCCACTATCTCACAAAAGGCTAGGGACCATGCAAGTGCATTTGGGCTCCACGCTTTGCGAGACAGTCAGCTTTCGTTGCCTTCAAACCCTTCATGTCCCGGAACCCACCACAGCGATACGTTATTGTGAGCTTCCAAGTGGTCCGCAAACCTGCTGCCTTTTTAAAAGAGTCTAAGGCATTTAACCTGCCTGATTATCCGACATAATATTTAATTTGGCCCCATTTGTCCTTCTGCACAGGCTTCGGTTGCGAGGACCAGACTTTCTGGAATTTTGGTCAAAAAACACCTGCACCATTACTCTCGTCATCCATTTTTGATCCGTCGGTATACCATGCTTGGCACCTTTCGTCAATCATAGTTACTATCACTTCACAGCAGTCCCTTTCAGGAATTCTGACCTTGTAGGGTTTGTAGAAGGATAACTCGATATTAGTCAAGAATGGCTTTAGAAAGACAAATAGGTTAGTTTTGGTGATATTCTTCAAGGCTTACAATGAAGTCTCTGTCAGGTGGACAATGGTGGACGAATCGCGTAACAAGGTTGCTAAAATGTCTGCAGATACATATTTTATATTTTTCGCAAATAACTATTATTGTCGCGGAACCTACCATAATCCAATCTAGCCTACCAACCTACCAAATAGAAAAAAACCTACCAGTTTTGGTAGGAAAAGTCCATGTTTGGCAACACTGGATGTGAGCTTGGCCACAAAGAGCACAAGAATTTCCATTTCTTTTGTCAACTTTGGTGGATGCATGAAAACTTTTAACATTTTGATTAGATCGCGCAGATTTAGAATTGTGAGAAAGGGAAGATGACGAATTCCTTGTACCTCGAGCAACCTTTTGCGAAGACGATGTATTAAATGAGATGTTGCGATTTTCAAGCGCGTCGATAGTGAACAACCGAGTTGTCAGGAAATCTTGAAGTTCCTAAAATGTTGGTATGTGGGTCTGACAACCCAGGTGCCGTACCCATGCTTCGTGTGTCTCGCTGGGTAGCTTCGTTGTTAAATAATGGGTGATCCAATGATCGCATTGGCTAATTGGAATTTGCAAACGTGTGAATTCGTTGATGCAAACACTTGCAACGTTAAGCATTGATTTTAATGCAAGAGAAGTTTCTCGAATTAGCACGGGTAACTTATAGAGCGTAGTCATATGAT